AATGTAACATCAACCCACACCTTGGACACATCAATAAATGCTCAGAATGAAAAAAAAAGAAGTTTAAAGTGAACACTTTTAAATGGTAATAAAAGATCTGAAATTGTTAAATAGCAGTGTCAGCTTTTCCATGACTTTATAGCTAATAAGTTGTCAAATATGTTGTTAAAACTTGAAAGATTATTCATCGGTAGCCTTGTACTTATACTGTGCTTTCCAACCTGAGAATCATGTCAGAGGAAAATGGCCGCCAAGTGAATATGGTGAGTGGTTAAGAACAATGGAGCAAACTGTATGCAGATGATGCAACTTTCTACATGCCGGTTTTCATATCTGGGGGTTAGATCTTCAGGGGGGTGGCTTTAGTAATGTGTTTGATTTAACCCACATATTTGGCCACACACACTCCACAAAGCAGAGGAGAGTTACATTAGCACACAGCGCACACACTGGAACAGATCCACACACCGCTAATTAACCTGGTGCTTCTCACAGCTGCTGGCCTCGACTTTGAAACTGACAAGATGTGGACGTGGGTGGCTCCTCAACCTAAATCAATCTGTGCTAATTGCTGGTCTAGGCTCCCCTGCGTCTTTACCTTGCTGCCTGTCAGTGTCCTATCTACTCGTCTGACTTGATGGGCAACTCCCACATCTCGAAATCCACTGTGATCACTCAGGCAAAACAAAGGTCTCTGCCTTTTGACTTCACTGCGATGTCGAGACATCTTCTTGCAGACCTGGTTGTATGTGTGCTCTTTTGATGCCTTCAGGGTTTGAATGAGATATTTTTCAACTTCCACTTTAAATGCCTTCACTGTATGCCCCTGTTGGTGTGTTCATTTCTGACAGGAGTTCAATTACAGGTTCAAAAACTCTTTATCATTTGAGTTCTTACAAAAAAAAACCTCTCCTTTAAGTAAAACATTCATCATGGAGGATTTAGAGTCAAGGATTTGGATTTATGTTTAGAAGAGTCCGCTGGCAGTTTTCTGCCTCTTTTACAGCTCCTCTGGCAGGCTAACCTACTCTTGTTGCAGATGCCTATGATCAATTGCACTCACTCCATCCACAGCACGCAGTCAGCCAACAAGGAATGGTCTTGTCGTCAAAAGCATGCTGCCAGGAACCACAGGGTTGAGAAGGGGGACTAAGAACGGAGGTGGAGCCCTGTGAATTTATATGTAGCCGAGCTTCTCACAGCCGCAAGCGCCTTAAAAGGGAATAGGTATGAGGAGAAAGTAGCTGTTCTGTGTCATTTCCACAAATGCAGTCATCTGTCTTCTTTTGGCATTTCTCCTCATGCTGACAGGGGTCATGAGTTTGTGTTGTGTAAGCATGAGGGTAACAGGGATTCTGTCAAACTCAATAGAATGATCTGAATAAGGCTGGAAAGGCAAAGACCTCGGAAACAACAGAGACATGAAAGAAGAGCCGACAGATATCGTGAAATTGTGAGACAGCATGTCCATAAAAGGCCATTCATTTCAGCTCACATAACTCCAATTAAAAATACACAACGAGTCAATGTTAAGGATGCCATACAAAGTAGAATAAATCAATCATTTAACTTCTTGGGCTTTTTTCACTGTTGTAGAAAATGTTCCTGAGCCCCTGATTAGCTATTAGCATATTAGCTGAGGCTTCAGGTGAAGACATTTAAGGAGGGTGGAATTATGTGGATATGTTTAGCAGGGGAATTGGGGAAAGAGATGCCCTCCATTCCCCTCCCCCTCTGGCCCTTTTCTCAGATGGAGCTGTACTTTAAACAGCTGGAGGAGGGTCGCAAAGGGGCTACTTAGGGGGAAAAAGAAAGGAGCTCCAAAAAAAGGTGTGTGTGTGTGTGTGTGTGTGTGTGTGTGTGTGTGAGGGGGGGAGGTCCTTTCATTGGAGCAGTTGTGTGAAACTGTAAATCCATCAGCTATCCATTTCAGCAGGGCTGGCAGCTAGCTAATGTTTTATTAAGTGTGTGATGTGTGTGCTCTGGGGGACAAGACAAGGGCTAATGGGATGGTGTCACACCAGACTGTAAAATGTCGTTTGCAGTCATGAGAGAAAGTGTCTGTTAGTAAATGGAGGAAGACATACTGATGCTCCCATCACACCATTTTTAGTGCTGTTGCAAACAAGCTTACACGATGATACAATGAAATATGTAACAGTGATAAAAAACTATTTTAAAAGTAGTAAAAAAAGTGATATGACCACCTGGGATACAACAGTGATATGTATCTATAGGCGTTTTCGGAGCTCAGGAATTTATTTATGTTTCTAGGAACTGTTGGAACCCTCCCCCTTTTTTATTGATTCCGCACCCCAGGAACTATATGAACTATTTAAGTTCCTAGAACCTTGTTTAGAGGAACCTTTTTAGATCCTGCTTCAGAGAAGTGGTGCACCTTTTATGTCAGATAGAAAACAGCGCCATTCTGAGCGTTACTGCTTCATAGACTCAAAGCTGCTTTCCCTCATTTGACGATAATTGTCAAAAACAAAAATAAATCGATTTTATGATTACTCACAGTCCAGTCAGCCAATCGAATAATAATGAATTTGCATCCCTTAAGAGTGGGAGACATGCACCATAAAAATAATTTTCTTTTCCTGTATAACTTGCTAGTTGTTTTCCCATTAGCAGCCTTCTAACATAAAGGATTGAGCAGCATGGAGTCAGGTCATGCTCTATCTACTCGCCCTCCTCCAGGCTGTCTCAGTCCCTGAATCCCTCTAAAGTCACACGGACTGGGAGCACCACACACTGGAGAGGTCATGGGCGGCTGTACACTGACTCTAGAGGATGACTGGAAGGCAGAGAAGGACAGACTTCAAACCCAGATGGGCTTTGATACGGACTCTGAACTGGTCCCTTGTCATCTAATAGATGGTGGCAAGAGAGGAGGGGGGGGGGCAGAGGGAGAAGGAGAGGGGAGAGAAGGCCTGGGGAGTTTTTGAAGTGAATGTACTTGTATCATGATCAAAGAAAAGCAGAGAGAAAGAGGGGAAGGAAAAGGACAGAGAAACCAAATGCCCTTCAGACTTTTTCCAGGCACAGTTAAGGTTAAGTTAAACTTAAGTAGAGTAGAGACTGAAACAACAAATATCAGCAGAGCGGACACATTTCTTCACTGTAATATTCTACATGAGATGTTCAACAAGACAAAAAATATATCCAACCTGTAAATATGAAGACAAATTCAAAGTGCCTGAACATTACATTTTACATATTTGTCACTTGAAGATGAAGATGATTTCTTTATACATGTTCTGCAATTGTTATTTTCTGTTTAAGAAATAGATAGATCGATAGATAGATACTTTATTGATCCCGAGGGATCCAGTAGCAGGTTACAAAGACGTACATGACATGAAACATTTGTTACAAATTAACCACAAAACCGACGCCCACCTCCCATACATATATATTAACCCGAAAACAAATTTAAGAATACCCCTGGATGAATCAAAAAATTTTTTTGCAATGTTTAAAAAGAAGAAAATTATCAAAAAACAGACATTAAATAACAAATATATCCCAGGTAGGCATCCCCAAGTGTTTATAGTTGTGTGTGAGTGTGTGTGTTCTCTAAGTTTATATGGACTGTGTTCTGACATCTGTTTTGGGTGAGAAGGCTTAATGGGTCTTGGACAGGCTCAATGACCAACTGTCTGTCCCAGAGCGCACAGAGCTTGACTCTGTGACCGCTAAATCAGCCCAGCTGAAAGGCTGCCATCCAAGCTGGGCACTGTGTGTGTGTGTGTGTGTGTGTGTGTGTGTGTGTGTGTGTGTGTGTGTGTGTGTGTGTGTGTGTGTGTGTGTGTGTGTGTGTTGTGTGTGTGTGTGTGTGTGTGTGTGTGTGTGTGTGTGTGTGTGTGTGTGTGTGTGTGTCTTTGTGTCTGTTAAGTATTTGAGGGGACTGAAATCTGTTCACGATTGAGTGAATGAGCTCCTATGTTAGAACAAAATCCAAAGAATGTTTGGGATTTTTTTATTGACAGCACATGAATAAATAAAAAAGTTCACATGGATCAATAAATCAAACAAGCAATCTAAGAACAGCAAAAGAACAACAACTAACATCTAGGTGAAATGAAAATCACATATCACATTTTTTCAAATGTTCCTTCCATGGTAAACTTCTTACATAAAGTTTTACACCAACGTGGACAAGAAATTATAAATCTGTTTGGAAGCTCCAGAAAATCTTTGTCATGGATCTCGAAATATGAAAGTGAGACTCTGAAATTTGGTAGGATGTCGTATTGATTGGAGCTGGAGCTTGGAAATCATCTAAAGTTGACATGTAATAACTCAAATTTGTCCTTAAGATTATATTGGTTATATGATAGATGCTAATGTGAGAAAACAAAAGGATGTGAGAAGAAGTGTGATATGAAAGGAAAGAGAGAGAGAGAAGATGGGTTTGGGGGAAATCAGTCTTAAAAGAAATACTTGTAATCCCTCACTTCTCTCACTCCTCTTATTTTCTCTCCTCTCTGCCTTCTTTCAGTGGGAGAGTACATGTGAGATCCAGATGTCGAGCCTTCACTGCAGATGTGCTCACTTAGAGGCCAAGCAACACTAATCTGCACTGCACATTCACACTAGGAAGCATGAAGGCGCACACACACACACTCACGTAAAATATATGATCCTTTCAGAAACTGAATCTGATACTCAGGGACTGTTTAAGAATGTAAAAAAAAAAACAGAAAAAAATAATCAGGTCAGAGTCCCATATGGACACAACAGAACTCATAACAGTGACTTTTCCATGCATCGAGGAATCTTTTTTTGTACAAACCTCACTGCTGCATTTGATTTACTTAACAGTCACTTACCTATTAATACTTGCCAGACAGAATAAAACACACACGCAGTCACACACATAAACATACTGAACAAGCCTAATGGTTGTCAAAATGGTTTCAAATATTAATGGCTCATCTGTTCACTACTTACATGCCTTGTGGCCCCATAAGTGTAGAAACAGGCTGTATTTGAGTGACCTCAGCTAGCCCTCTCCACGACCTTGATGCTAATGAAACGAGTGCAGCAGCATTAAGGCCATCGCAGAGAAGTCAAAGATGAGAACAACCAGTCCGAGAAATCAAATGCCCACTTATGTTGCATGAACTGTTGTCACTGTAACAATGAAGGGTTTGGTGAATATAGTGGAAATGATGGAAAAAAAAGTGCTGTAGTTGTAAATGCTTTGATTTTATATGAACAGACTTTGGATTATTTTTTTGTCAATGAGCTATTTATGTACTTTTATGTTACCTTTAAAGGAGATGAGATGGAAATGTGTGAGAGTGTGTTAACATGAAAAATAGTTTTACAAAACATGCCTGTCAGATTTTATTTTTAATATATAGGATTTTATTATATACACAGTTCGGGGTGCACGTCATGGGACTGTCTGTCAGTGTAATAGCCTACAGCGTTTACAGCTAACGTTACCGACAGTGTTGGCAGGATGAACTGTTAAAAGGTTTAATGAAATTCTGTAATGTGACACAACAGGTAATGAGGAGGAGTCATATACCGGAGTACCACGGACAGCTCCCACATCATGACAGTCACAGGATCAGCACCTTGTAACACAAAAGTTTGTCATTTTTAAAGCTCTAACTGTTTCAAATGTACTCAGTTTAATGAACTCTATAATATATATTGTTTGTGATTGTGTGCTTTAGAATGGCAGCTTGTGTAACAATAAGAAAGTGTTTTTTATTTCTCTTGTGTCGTGACTTTGTTCAGCCCCACTCCCTCTCTTCAATCAGGTTAGCACATGTTTGCGTTACAGGACTAGCATTTTTGGTTGAAGCCGTTACAGGCAATTGCTTTGAGGGGCTAAAAAAGTTCAATTCAGCTAGATGCAGACAATTACAACGAGATAACATGCAAAGAGGAAACCCTGTCTCTCTGTCTTGTATGGAGAAAAAACTCCACTTTTTAACCAACTATTGCTTTTTGGTTTGTGAATGAGTTGGCTCTTTGAGCTGTCTCTTCATTTCATTCCCCTTTGTTATTTTTTTTGTATTATATCTTTGCTTTAATACAGTGAATAGCTTCTGTACAGTTTATTTTAATTTACTTAGCTGTTACTACAACTTATTTTTTATTTTTTTTATTTGTACTTTTCTTTTCTTATAATGCTATTCTATTTTATATATAACTTTAACTTTTTTGTAGAAGCTGACTCAGGGAGAAACGCACAAAAATTCCAATATATACCTGTACTGTCCTGTACCTGTGCAAATGGCAATAAACATCTGTTCTATTCTATTCTAAAACTAGAAGCATTGCATTCAATACGACAATGAAGATCCCTTATCTTTTAAAAAGAACATTTTTAAGCATTATTTCAGCCCCTCCCTGGAGATACCTTTAGTAACGCATCATTCTTTTTGAAAACCCCTGAGTGGGATCTTCTTTGAATCGTTTATGTCACATCTTTTGGTTACATCTATTGAATCCATTTATTTCTCTCACTGTTGTAGGATTGTGGCAGAACACGGCCCACTATTTACTCTGTTGGTTCAGGATTTGGATTGCCGCCTGTTGGCTTGCATCGGTGCCCTCCTGTTTGTTTTCTACACACGAGAAGATGAGTCAACTGATTGGCAGTCAGACGGCATGCTAGATGGAAGCGCTAAACCTTGGCCTGGGCTAGCTGCTCATTTATTCACAGAAAGAGCAAAGAAGGTGAGAGACAGAAAAGGAGGGTGTGTGTGTGTGAGAGAGAGAGCCAGGGAAGAGAGGAGAAATTAAAGACTCAAAATGGCAATACAAACGCTGAACTTCACCCAATATTACCAAAGAAAAAGATCTGCTTGTTATCACCCACCTTCATTGATGCTAGCACTGCCTAATGCCTTAATCAAGCTGCTATAGCCGCTACCACCCACCACAGTGTGAACCACACAAACATAATAAAGTAGCTCTACCTCTGCCAAAGCGACACACATGCAGCGACACACACTCCCAGCACTCCAGCATATGGGTCAGATCTAATCGCAATAATTTCATTTCCCCGCTCATCAGCTCCTAGCCAGATAGACTAAGTCCCATTTGTAACCACTGCAGCGCTACTGGAAGGAAATATGACAGATAAGAGGACTCTTGTAATAAGCCGGCTGTGTGGATCTGATAAATGAACGGAGCTTGTCGCCAGTTAGCTGGAGAAATATATTGTGGAAATTCAGAAGTGTGGTAGCTGGAGGATTCATAAAAAATAAACTGGGAAACAAATTAACTTTGTTGATTAGCGGCAAGATGGAGGAAGCTGCTTGGAAATGACTCTACGCCCGCCTGGGAAATCTCCAAATGCAAGGCGGCAGTCTGAGAGAGAGAGAAAAGACATAGATGTGTAAGATACAGTAAATCCTCTGCAGGCATCTTTTCATGGACAGAGTCGCTCGCCTCTCTTTCAATCTCTCTATCTTCCTCACATACACACAAGTGCTTTCTGTTAAAAAAAAGAAAATCCATCCTTCTCAGCTGTTCCTAGTTAAAAGACAGATGTGCAGTGCTGCTTGTGATGGAAAGTGTAATATGTGTTTAGAGCAGGGCCCTGAATTGTGCACATATGGTTTTTCAGTGGGAGAGGTGGAGTCGCTCAAGTGGAATTTGAAACGTAAATAGAACAAAGGGTTGTGGGAGGTGGTACATTTCAGCTGTTTCCATGGCAGGTAAGCTCCGTCGGCAAGGCTCTGATGTTTATTTTTGTGCCTTTATTTCTTTACACAGCATGTCAAATTATGTTTGACATGCTTTGCACTGTGAGGGAATATGCGTGATAAAGGGTTTCAAATAAAGCAGCAATAAAGGCAAGTATAAGACTGTTTAATCGTATACAAAGGATTCGTCTGAAATGTAGCACTGTGTGAAATATATTTTTCAGTGATTAACACTTTCTAAAGATGCTGTTTGTCGTTTCCTGCAGAGAATATTCCAATGAGAACAGGTCAACAGAAAAGTCACAGAGATTGTCCTTGTGCCCGGCCTTCTCTCGAGGAAACGCTTCAGTGAATCTCAAAGAATTCATCCATGCGAGACCCAACACATAAACAGTCACCTTGTCATTCACCTTGTCAATCAGTCAGTATGTCGGCAAGTCCACAATCCAGCCAACCAATGACTGATTCCCATCATCTAGTCGTCAAACTCAGCAAGTGTTTCATCCACATACTGATCCTCGGTGGTGTTAAAAGTCAAGACCTCCTTCTTCTACCTCAACTTCCCATCAAAGACCTCTACATGGATTGGTCCAAATATGTTCTTATTTCTCTCTATTGTTACGGCAACACTGTCTCCTGATAGGTTGTATTGCATGGCTGTTTTGCAAGAGAGGGGGCGGGCCTTCCTGCCTGATTGGCTACAGCAGTGACTTTTAGATTCTTCGTTGGTGTTTGGACGAGAGCCACTTGATGGAATCTTATGTTTTAATACTGAACTGTCATCCGAGGGAGGGGACACATTGGAACCGAGCAGATTGAGCTGGTCCACAGAGCGAAGTATAGCGGTAGAGATTTACTTTGATTTTAAGGTTTTGAGGAACTTTAATCATTATTGTTGGCGGTCATTCCCTCCTCTGGTTAGACAATAAAGATTATTCTATTCTATTGCTGTACAGCAAAGACACTGCTTTTAGTTACCGTAGCACTTGTTATGAAATATATGGAGAAAACTGAACAGATAAACTGAAAATGACTATTTCAAATAATTGAATTTGAGTAGAAGTGATTTAGCCTGAGGTGAATGGTGAAGGGGAAATTAAAGCGATATTCTCTTGTAAAATTACGTCTGTCAAACTGAATGATTCAAAGCTGTAACCTTTGGGGACAACATTTATTCTTGACTGCAGCATATTGACAGAAATGTCAATGTTTCCATGCATAATTCTGATAAACTTTGTGTTTAAGCATCAATATTAACATGTTATGACCTAATCCAACCCATCATCAGGATACCAGCAGACATGTTCATACGATTTGATAAAATAAAGTAAGCATGGTATTTAAATGTTTTAAGTCACGTCCTTTAACCGCTTATTGATGCAGAATCAAATAAAGGAAAATGAAAAATGATTTCTGCTTCTTTTCTGCTCTTTGGGGGAAAAAAAAGTGAGTGTGCTTGAGAGGCCACTGAATTGGCATAATTACATGGGTTTAAATGCAAATTTACAATGTGCTTATTAATTCTATTCTGCTCATTTCAAATGACTGACTGCACTTAATTAAATCAGATTGATTAGACCTTTTCTAGACTTTCCCTTTACAACCACATAATTATGACAAATAGAGCCACTTGACACCCAATCTGCAGCCGAGGACTGCGCTTTCTTTTCTCCGTCATTCAAGGTCTTTCAAGTCCTGCGTGGGGTTCTACAGGCGGGTCACAATGAGGTCGAAATGAGCCACCACATTATCCCAAAGGAGTAGTTTTATGTTTCTTAGAAGGCCACAGACCGGGGGTTTTTTTTCTTCCTATTTTTACCTAACCTACATGAAGACATTCATGAAGGATCGTCCTTAATGATCTCAGCTCTCTACTGGTTATATTTGGTCATGATGGTTTTTCCAACAGTCTAATGAGCACTCATAATTGTTTTATTTTTTATTTAATTGATTAATTTTTTGAGGCTTTTTTGGAGAGATAGAGTTTGACATTGGGGAGAGAGTGGGGAATGTAGTACAGGAAAGGAGCCACACATTGGATTCAAACCTGCGCCTTCCGCTTTGAGGAATCCATCCTCTGTACATGTGGTGTGAAAACTAACCACTTGGCCACCGACGCCCCAACATAATTTGTTTTTGTCCTTAGTGTGAGACAGTAACCAGTAGAAAACATCCAGAATACAGCAGCTGATTGTGCTCTTTTGTCAATCAAAGTCTAGCAAGGTCATATGAGTTGATACACAAAGGGAGAGTGATTTAAGTGCGCAAACTTTCCAATATTCTTTTGTCAAAGCTTGAATATTAATACCTCCCAAACAGCGTTAATGGAAAATTGTAGACAAAGAGGAATAGGAATAATAATTAGGGGGAAAAACAATATGCAACACATTCAAAAAACGTAATATTTAAAAAGCAGCGCCCCAGGACCTGGCGAGTTAATGGCTGAAAAGGCTCCTGCTCCTCAAGTGTTTTTCTGCGCTTTGATTGCAATTTGGAGAAGGAATTATCTCATCAGGGGTGCGTGGGTGGAGGGAGGTCGGATCTGGCTGTGAAGTACTTGTCATTACTGAGATCTCTCCTTTTCTATTCCTTCTTGGTCCCTTTGTCTGACTCCTTCCCCCCTCTCGTCTTTGTCTCACTCCTCGAGTTGTGGTTGTTCTGCAACTGTAGCTCGACTGTGTCAAAATATTAGTGGGTATATAACACAACACACAAATATGGAATGTATAATACGAGGTAATACGTAGCAGCAGAATATGACACACATTAACCCATGCAAACCTGTTCATGCGTACTGAACCTGTTTCTTTTATCATAGATGCATGTCATTAACCACACACCGCTCCTCCATTGGTCTGACCAACTGTGTGTAGTCTCAGGCTCAAATGTCCCTCTTTTTTTTTTAAAGGCCGTGGGCACCAAAGTCGTGATATTTCCTCTTAATTACTCAGCCACATTATCACCATGAAGCACTTTTAAATACATTGTTCCGACTGCGGTGATACGTCCTTTCATTAGCTGATTAACTGTGCAATGCGATTGTTTGTGTGTGAGAGCAAAAAAAAGGGAGAAAAATTAGACACAAGAGACTAAAACACTTGACACAAGCATGGTGTCTTCACTAAAGAAATGCTTTACATCATGTCCAAAGTACTTTTGATTTAAAACTCTGACATGTGCATCCTAATGATCATTCTTCCTGTGTCAACACAACAACACACACTTCACACACTACACACACAAATGGCTCACTGGAAACCTGTATTACTTTTAATGCAATATCTGAGTATATTATTTACTTAATAGCAGTAACGAATCATATTTCCTTTATCAAATCTTTTCCTTGGAAATCTTTCTTTCGAGATGCTTTCATTTTTCACCACATTCATCAGTACAGTTGAAACTGACAGGAGAAGCAGGAGTGAGATTGGAAGCTCTTTCAGTTACTATAATCACTATAACAACATTTTACCATGCACGTTTAACTGCAATTCACTTACAAAATAATACATACAAATAAATAAGAAGGTTAGACAGTTAGATGTATACACCATATGCTTTTTGACTGAGATTGCATTACATCTTACAGATCAAGTTACACATTACTTATGAGTGTCAAGACCAACATAGTTTCTTTCATTGACATCATTTCAATTCAAAATTACATTTTCTGATTTTTAGTGTGATTTAAGAATATTAACAATAAAGGGTATGTTGCAAGGGTAAGGGTATATCCTGTAAAATCAGCACTAAAAGTACTGAACCATGATCAAGTACTTATCCATTATCCATTTATTTAAGTCTTTTTAAATTATTTAAATTATTTAACTGCTGAACAAAAATATGTTTTCCTCCATTAAAATATAATATTATAATTTCATAACCAGACGTACTTCAAAAGGTTCATGAAGCAGGAAGAATCACTGCGTCAAACTGCATCAATATTTTAATTTGTGTTTTTAATTGCACAAACAGAAAATGAATGTTTTCAACAGAATTTCTTATAAAAAATGATTAATGTTTTATTATATTATTTAAACATGATCTGAAAGACAAGCTTTGTCACACTCTGCCTTCTGTTCAGCTTGAACTCATTTTAAAAGTCATCTGGACATCCCAATTCAAAAAAACAAACAGAGCTTCATTAGACTATATTCAAAATAAAATACTTTCTTTGTTGGGCTTGGCTTTCCCATTTTAAACACCCAAACTCCCACCTCTACCCCATTTTACTTGTCACAGTTTTCTCACAGAGCCCGTTTGCCTCTGCTGTCAGTGTGGAATTGGGGGGAAGGGCTCGGGGGGCTGCACGTCCTCCAGGTGGGCTCTTTGCTTAATGGCCGCGGCTCACTTAATGTGCCCATTAAAGGCAGTGAAGTGACAATATTGTTGGACAACCCCTTCCTGTGTGAACACTGTATGAACCTAGGTGCGTTTTGGTGGTCTCTTTATCTATGACTGTACTGCACTCTGTCAGTCCTTCACTGTCTTCATACCAAAGCTACACAAAGACGCAAAGAGTCTTTTTTTTTGTGATGTAGAAACGTTCAACTCTTTACATTTCCTTATTGTGTTTGAATGCTGCTACAGAGCAAACTGTGGCTGTTTATGAAGCGTGGGGATAAGGAGATGAATACATTTAAAGATCAAGTGATAAGTGAAACAAAGAGTCTTTGAAACACTTTTTGCCTATCAAATGTAAACTATACTATATACAGTAGGTTTACAGCACATATACACATTCTATTTGTTTATGATAAAGGGAGAGAGCAAAAAAAACCTTAATGGAGGTTTTAGGTATTTGTTTTGAGTGAAAAATCAAGAGCAATAAAATCAGTCGATGGAGGGCCAAGCTCATCTGTTCTTGATCTGTGTGAGCAGAGTTGAAGGTCATCGCCTCGGAGTAATTAAAGACTGGCTTCATTCAAAATAATGCCTTATGATGACCCAGAAAAAGAGGGTAGTTATACACACAACACGTAGGTGCAGAGCAGTGCAAAATCAGCAGACTGAGGAAGACGATAGGCCCACACACTTACTCGAATTCCACAAAAAGTTTGAATACATCACAGCGTAACTGGCCGAAACGTTGTGATGGATTCAAACTTTTTGTGGCATTTGAGCAAGTGTGTGGGCCTATCTTCTTCCTCAGTTTTATGATAAACCACAGACAGCAATTTCTGAAGATAAAGAATGAACTGATTAATAAATGTCTGCATTAAACAAAATATATTTAGAGGTTCAATATACAGTAGAGTGATGTTCTCTGTAAGAAAAAGGATAAAGGCTGCAGTTTGTTATTTATAGTGTGTAAATGTGCACAAACATTCAATGTCATTCAAATAACTTCTTCTCTTGTGCAAATTTGATATGTTGTTAAATGCAAATGCAGTTTAGACTTTTGTGTTTATGACTTTTTTCAAACTAGATAACTCATTGCTTTCCTCTATACAATACACTTGTTATTAAATCAACATTTGGGCATGTGTCCAGTGAACTTTATTCTACTTTGGGTTCGTACATTTAAATGAAGGAGGTAGAATCCTGGATTTAGAATATTTGTGATTTCATGTCCGGTTTTCAGCACAATATGGAGTGTGCATCACCAGACTTGACACTTTCCTGTAACGTATAATATGTTCATGCTACAGACAAACGAAACTGAGGCAGTCATTTATCTGTTTTGGTTAATGTGCTTCAGGTCAAACACAATTAACCTAAATATGGAGTCAGTCCTGCGTGTTCTGGTCAATCATTCTTGACCTGAAGATAAATGGATTAAATACTTCAGCAGTGCTTAATTACCTCAGCGTTGAGATTTATATTTAAAAGAAACATGAAATACATGAAAGCCATTGAATAGTTCAATCAAATTAATGTGGAATAAATTCTCCTCATAAAACATGATGAAATCAGATTGTTTGTCTAACTACTGTGCCTGTAGTTTGTGTGAGATGACGAGGACAAGATGCTTCGAAAAGATAAAGCATTCAGATACACAGCAGAACTGCCTTCCATATCTGAATGTGTATTGTATCCCACATTGCCAGCACTTGGTCGACATCAATGCAATCCCATTTCTGATACCCTAATGCTATTATTCTCCTTTGAAATGTAAAATAAATGTCTCTTCAAACGTTTTAGCTAGAATATAATAACTAATGTATGTAGCAGGTGCATGTATTACATACAGTATATTATAATAAAGGAGACACTGTCCAAGGTCACATATACTCACATACCTCCTATTATGATACAAGACTTCACTCACCATGATGACTTTTCAATGTCTGCCATGATGTGGAGGGAGATGGATCCCTTAAAAGGGGTTAGAAATAGATGAGTGTGGGGTGAGATGGTAGGGTGCATGTGTTCATTTGTCTACTTTTGATTGCATCGCC